TAATTAAAGTTGCATGTGCTTGCAAATACTCCTTCATAAATGTTTTCTCTTCTCTCAGCCCTTAGGATCTCAAATGATTGACATATAATAATGACATGTATATTTTACAATTGTCAACTATGTAAAGCTTTAATTTAAATTAAAGTTTGACACAGAAAAGCCACTAGCTGTGTTTGAATTATACAATAATATAATTGACATAGATCAATGACTTGTAAATTTGACAACGATCAACCGTGATGCAAAGCTTTAATTTAAATTTAAGTTTGATACATAAAGGCCATTAGTTCTGCTTGAATAATAAAATAATATAATTGACAGATAACAATGAGGTGTATATTTGACAATTGATGAACCATGCAATGCTTTAATTTAAATAAAAGCATAAGGGTATTGAACCTTAACAAAATTAATGTTAACAAAAAATCAAACTGGTCATTAAATTAGTTCACAATTTAATGGCTGGACCGTGGCTTAATTCATGGTTTAACCATGGTTTTATAAAATAAATATATATAATAATAAAAATGAATTTTTAAATTTTAATCAAAATAATATAAAATAGAAAAGGTAATTTTTCAATCTAAAATATATATACTTATTTCATAATTTATAACTAAATAACACACATGCATATTTTATACAAATTTCTTAAATATTTGTTCATTTTTTTCCATTTATCAATATTTATGAGGCATAAATATGTATAAATTGTACTCCCTCTAGTCCTTGTCATATGGTACCCCCAACTACCTTATCAGAACCAAGAAAATATAGTTAAGTTATAATTTTGTTTGAAAATAAAATAAATTCCTACTTTTACCCCTATTTAAATATTTTTTTTAAGTTGCACCACATTCTCTTTCATAGTTAATAAATTTAAATAATGATAATATTGAAAAAAATATAACTACTACTCCATAATATGCCTTATACTAATGACAAAAAAAAATACTTACAGAAGATGTCTTACAATAAGGACAATTTATAAATATGAATTAAAATTTTAAATAATTAAAAATTAAAAATTAAAAAAATAACAAGATTTGATCAACCAATTTGCTAATAGTTCAGCCGATTTTGAGCAGTTCAAAATTGATTCAATCAATTCATGATTGGTTCTTTAACTCCACAATTTTTAGCTATAATCAGCTAAACTTAGGTCCAGTTCAATCAATTGAATTGATTCGATCCTGTTCTCATAACACTGGAATTAACATTGTTTGGTCCAACTTATGATCATTACTCATTTTTAATATTTTTCAAAATAAATAAACCAAGGCTTCACACAAAGCAATAAAAACGATAAACATAGATCCCCTTCCATTACATTTGTTGTTAACTTCCTTGTTATCAATGAAGATTGTTATCAAGTTAATGAAGATTATGGGGCACCTTAAGCGAAACTAATAAAATATTTAAATTTTAATTGAGTAAGATAGAGAAAGAGAGAGATCAGAATGATACTAAAAAAATGAAAATACAATTTTGTGAATAAAAACCAACTGAAATAATTAAAAATACAATTATTATTGAATAGTGATAATCCAAGTATAAAACATACCACATATTTTGATTTTTGTCTATATTGTAGACAAATTAAACAAGACGAAGCACTAAAAAAAAAGAATGAATTTAACACTTCATAAAGTAATTAAACGATGATAGGCAAATCCTTGTTCTGAATAGTGGCGGAGCCACGGGCACGTCAGGAGCTAAATGCGCTCCCTCATATATGGAGAAAATTACATACGGGGATGTGTAAACCTTACAATCTTACATCCTAATTTTAGAATTTTGAATAATAAAATCAACCACATCAAATTAAGTCATCTTGCTGGTTAAAAGTTTTTTTTCTCTCAAACTTAAACTCTGTATCAAATTTTTAATATATTTTTGGCCAAACAAATCCTCAATATATTTTTTCTTGTATAAAAATATGCATAATTTTTTTATGTTATTATATTTTTGTCTAATGAAATTATTTTTAAAATTGTTGTATTATTTTTTAAATTATTAATTTTTAAATTGAGTTGTCTTGCACCCCTTAACTTTAGGTCCTGCCTTTGCCACTAGTTTTGAATATGGTATACTATTGTTATTGCGCATTAATTAACTTAAGGTTTAAAGAGCAAAATAAACTCTAAATTCTTCCCTGAAAATTGCTCTAAACTTTTAAAATATGTAAAATAAATCGTAAAATTTTAAATTTGTGACAAAATAAATCCTAATTGTTAATTTTTTCAACGCCATTATTGTTCACGTGATACTATTCACCGTGGGCTCCTGTTAATACTGATGTGTCATTGTTAATTAGCGCCACAAACCCTAAATTATTATATTAGTAATATTCTGGACCTTGAACTTTAAAATTTTAAACAAATTATGCCCATTGTTTATGTATAGAACATTGACTATTATGTAGACTAAATTGGCCCCAACATGGTTCGCCGTAGGTGAATGCATTGTTGGCCATGACAATGACCTATAATTTTGTAAAATGATATTTTTTGCTCTTTTTTACAATATTTTCCAAGCGATTAGTATCTCATACTTTCATATACTCTATAACTCTAATTTAATATTATTTTGATTAATGTTTATTTATTTAATGGTGAAAACTTGAGATCCTATTTGAAAATAAGTTTAAATATTAGAGAATTTTAATTAACTGATTAATTTGAGTTTTAATTTGTTGATGAAATCATCAACTTTAGTATTTATCATCTATAAAATTTTATGATACTTAAACTTTTTTTTAAATGGGATACCAAATTTTCACCATTAAATAAACAAACATTATTTAAAATAAAACTAAATCAAAGTTATAAAGTATACGAAAGCATAAGATATTAATCGTTTGAAAAACATTGTAAAAAGGACAAAAAATATTATTTTACAAAATTATGAATTATTCGCCACGACCAATGATGCATTCATTGTAGCGAACCATGCTGAGGATAATTTGATTTACATAATAGTCAACATTTTATATATAAACGATGGGCATAATTTGTTCAAAATTTTAAAGTTCAGGGTCCAGAATGCTATTAACAATAGTTTAGGGTTTGTGGCACTAATTAACAATGATACATCAGCATTAACTGGGGCTTACGGTGAACAGTACCACATGAATAGTAAGGACGTTAAAAAAATTAATGGTCAGAATTCATTTTGCTATAAATTTAAAAGTTTAGAATTTATTTTGCACATTTTAAAAGGTTAGAGTTCAGGGTGCTTTTCTAGCAAGAGTTCGGGGTTTATTTTACTCATTAGCTCTTAACTTAATGTTTGCACACATCATCTTCATTCCTGTACTTGTGTTTTTTTTTTTTTTTTCAATCTGCTGAAGGAACTAATGGCACTTGTCATGGAATTGACTCCTCCTCAAGAGGAATTCAAATTCTTTTTGCTTATTCCATCACCCGATATCTTAAAAATATTTGAGAATATTACAATCACTCGTTTAAACTAATATGATAAACTCCTAATTATGTGAGATCATTATTACGAGCAATGGTCTCACGTCTTGGGGATGCCTTTTGCCATATTTACACCAATATCCTCCACAAGAGCAAACACAAGTAATGTTTAAAATGATGAAAACGATTTGTGTTTCTCACATAAATTTCTCTTTGTTCAAAGCTAGATATGAATTTTATAACTGGCAGTACGCATTTTCAAATCCTCATGTTCTTATCAATCACTTGAAGAGGTTGCTCACACAATATTTGTGCCTTATCTAGCTCCTCAACATCTGGCACATAATTTTAGTATCGAGATAATTTTTCCAACCTTTTTTTTCATTTTTTTTAATACAAAGGAGGAGAATTTTTTTTTAAGAAATTTTTTTAAGAAAATAAAAATGAAATCCCAGAAGAGAAAATTAATTAATCACAGTTAGGTTCCTAAAAAAAATTTAAAAAAATAAGTTACAAATATCAATTTAAGTGATTATAAATTCAGAAGTTTTAATTACAAAAAAGACATTTAAATATATATAATTTTAATTTGCAATTGGGATTTTTCTTTACAATTTTCAGATCAATATTTATAACTCTTTTTTTTTAAAAAAATATTGTAAGGGTAACTATCATTAATTTATTTTTTAAAACTTTATTATCATTCTCCCTTTTCTAAACTTCCATGGAGAAGATAAAAGGTGAGAAAAAACCCTAACGGCCAAAAGTGTGAAGGAGGTTTCAACAGGAAAACACAAACTCTCAAATCATGAGCATGTTAAACCAATCAATCCACACAAGGACGAACATCCCTATTTATCTAACTTTTTCAAGTTTCTTTTGTGCACGTGAGATTTGTCCCCAGAGAGAGAGAAGCGTATGAACTTTGTGTCTCAACTCAATCCAACAAAACTTTCCATTTGTGTCCTTTATTACATAATATGAAAATCTAGTCGATGCCACCTGATTGAACCAATAAATTATTAAACCAATATTTTGATTAGTGTACTAAAATGCTTCATTTATGATCAATTTAATCATGATTCAAATACAATTTTAATTATTAATCCTTGAATTAATGCCTTAATATGTTCAAACTCAAAGCTTTCATGTCTTTCCCGATATTCTGGGAGCAACATGAGCATTACGCGCGACGACCCTGCAAGAAAAGCATTGCATAAACCTATACTTACATTTGGTCACATTCATTAAAAAAAAAAAAAAAAGTGTGACACATCTTCCATACATGTCAATAAAGTCCACAGACGACCACAAACATGGCTGATCCAATGCCCAGTTTGTTCACATGACCATGAATAAAGTCATGAACGAGGCTTGAGTACTTAAATAGATCTGTAGGCTTGAACACCGTTTTCCTTGTTTTTGTTTTTGTTTCTGGGCTAAACCAGGCTTGATGCTTGAGGTGGGCTGGCCTTTTTTGGTCATTTTGATCCCTTAACATGACTCACACCGTGAACTATGCGCACCGTGAATTTCTGAAAAATAAAAAATAAAAAGGCTTATGGAGAACTATACGGAGCGGTTGAATCCAAGCCAGTCTCCAAATCGTGAACGTCCTATGCTTCACACTCAATCCCTCTCATGCCGTGCCCCTCGTCGGTGCCTGCGTCGCTGTCCATCGTACTCCGTCGTCCAACTGTTTGCTGCCACCGTAGCCTCTCATCGCCGTCATCCTCTGGATGCAAACGCGTCAAAAATTGAAGGTTCTGGTGTGAGAAAGATCGACAATTTCAAAGTGTATATGTGAAGGTCTGGTGTTGATTTTAGTTTTTTATGTTTGGATGCTCTAAATCTCGTTTAAATTCTTGAGTTTAACCGAAGGATTTGGGTTGAAAATGTGTGTTTTCCACATTAATTTGTAGTCTATTCGCATACTCTGTTCGGTTCTTTCCGGGTTTTGCTTCATGTATGGTTTTTCATTCAACTACAGCAATATTGCATTGAATTGTAAGGCTTTAGTTTTATTACTCTTTTAATTCTTTAAAGTTTCAGGAACAGGAAGCAAATCAGTTCTTGAACCACACAACTCTGTGATTCTTGAAATTCTTCGTCTGAATCGATGGGCAACGTTATTGAATCCTTTGCTTCAGGCATCGGAAACGTTATTGGCAAAATCTTTGGCTCTCCAATTGACTTCCTTTCTGGAAAGTCTTGCAGGTAAAAGCAATTTTCATTTTATCTATGGGCCAAAAAAGGGGGAAAAATCATTTTATCACATTATAGAACTACAGAAAACTAACTATCAAATACTCTAAGAGTCCTAGACACACGCATGAACATGATTCTGCAATTTGAATGAATAGAGTAGCCTGAGCCAGTTATGAACAAATATATAACTCGGTTTGAACATGATCTTCTGTGATTGGTTTCCTTCACTTCACTTAAATTGGATACACCAATTTTACTTATAAATCTTTTTAATAATAGTTATTTAGAAAAGCTAATCATTTGGTTCCTATAATTTCAACTCAGATAAAATTTTATCTTTAAACTTTGACTTAATGTAATTTAATTTCTATAGCTTTGACTCGTAAAATTTAACTTCTAAATTTCAACTCTTACAATTTAATTCTTATAGTTTTATTTAATTTAAGATGTTAGTCCCCATGTTTTGGAAATAGAGAATGAAGTTATTATTAAGATCTAAGGACTAATGTTTTAAATAGTTAATTAAAATTATAAAGACTGAGATATTCTGAGTTAAAATTTAAGGATTAAATTACAAGTAAATCAAAATAGGAATTGAATGGGATTGAGTTAAAGTTTAGGAATTAAATTATAATCGAGTCAAAAGTATAGCAAGCAAATGATTAATTTTCACTAGTTATTTTTGTTCACTGCTCAAGTTCCTCTTTCATATAATGCTGTCGGGACATATTTTTCAGTTCAACTTGCGGACCCACATGGGATCTCATGTGTTATATCGAACATTTTTGTATCGCCAATGTGCTGAAGCTGGCCTTGATATTCGTTCTGGTTTACATTGGTGAGTTTTCTTCTGATCACTGTCTAGTGATTTGAACAGGGACAACAATATGTCTATATATAACTATATATATTTTTCCATTTTTTGTGTTTTTGTTCCCATTTTGCAGTTGCATTATTCATTTACCTATTATATAATCTGGCCAAATGTGCATGCGTTGGGGTGACGATTTGCAGATCTATATGGGCATGCCTGTCTTGTTGGTTCCACCTGTGGGAGCGAATTTGCACTTTCTTGTGTGTCAAGTTATGTAATTTCAAAAGAAAAAGATTCACCAAAGGGGAAAGGTATTGCAATACAAGTGAACAAGATTACGAGGAAGTAAACCCTTCATATTATGACCGTGGATCAAAAGAAGTGAACAGATCATTTTCTCGTCGGAGAAGAAACTACAAAACCTCCCACTTGAGGAGCTCCTTAAAACCAAGAAACCGTCGTGCCCGACTTAGAATCAGTGCCGATGTTAGCCGTAAACAAGAGGAGAGGAATCACATAGGTGAGAATCTGCATGGTGGATGTAGTAATGCTGTTGTTAGACATGGCAATCATCATAGCAACACAGTTCATGACCTGAAGGTGGTTCGTACATTTAAGTTTGTGAATAAAGGTTTGAAATCTAAGAGGAGAGGAATTCAAAGACACAAGAAGCACTGAGACTTTTCAAGATCTTGATGACTCTGTTTAAACTAACAATCTTGGGCCGTGAACATATGTATCTAGGTATATATGAATGCGAGGAAATTCTCTGCTGCATGGTGGCATAATTTTCCTCAAAATTCATTACACACGAGTGAAGAATGACAATTTATAAGCCATTAATAGTATAGTTTACTTTGGATTCTATCCAATAGATGGGATATAAATTTTGTTATATTTGATGCATAGCATAACAAATAAACAATGGGTTTTGCATGGGCAAAATAGTACTCATTGTGTTTCTTCATATTTGTCTAAAATTGTTTCATATTATTTATCTTTTTAGATTTCGAAAGCACTATTTAATGACACTTTTCCTGTTTTATCTTTGAATTTGATAAAGTATATATTATTTTTAAATATTAATTGCATTTTACTAATTTGTTCGTGGACAAATATTTTAAAATGGATGGCGTAATAAAAATCCATACTACGAGTGTTTACTTTTTTTTTAAAAAAAACTAATTTTTGTTTTAAAATAAAAATAAAAAAACTTATTTGAATAAATATTGCTAAATCTTTTCTCATTTTTTATTGTTAAAAATTCAAATTAAAAACATCTTAAAGTTATTTTTGTTCTTGGCCGAAAAAAGTAAATTTTGTTTCCTTTTTTTTTTTTGGTTTTTGAAGCACATTATATATAGTAATTAAAAATTACTATCAATTATAACTAGTCACTATCGTAGCATAGGCTACAAATATTAACCACTTATAATTATCACCGTTGGTTGATTTCTTAATTTTAAAATTATTTTTAAATTAACATAATCAAATATATTTTTTTATTTTAAAATTTTTTTTAAAATGTTGTTTACACCATAGCTTTAAAGAATAAAAAAAATAACAAAATCAAGCAACCCCATTGAGGCCCATTTAGTTCAATTGGTGAGGAGAGTTCAAGTCTTATAATATGCAGCCGCATTAAATAAAAATGTCTAAGCTATTCTTAAAATATTAGTAACAATAGTTTTACATAATGGGGGTTCAAATTAATCTAAGTAGGCAGTGATAATACTCCATGTTTCCTAAAATAGGGGTGATAGAGTTTAACAAAAACAAAAATCAACAACCCCTCATTTTCAGTATTTCAATCAATTCTATTTTTTTTTCCAGAATAAGTGTATGTCTCCAACTCAGATTTTTTTTGTTTTTGGTAACAAAGCAAATTATATTAGAAAAAATTACATATAGATCCTGTAGAGTAGACATATTCACAAATAAATTTTACAAAATTTGGAAATCACAATCATATCCCTTAAAACTTGAGTGTCATTTAAAATTAAGTTACAAAGACAATAATACTCTTATTAAACACACATTATATTAATCAAATAATTAATTTATAACTATTTTATTAATAATTTATAACTATAATTTTTACTTTTTACGACCGTATCTTCACGTGTCAAATGGTTAAACAATCATACGTTATTAACAAAGTTTAACATTGATTATTTATAACTACTTCATCAATAATTTACAACTAAAACTTTAAATATGTGAAGTTAGAGTTGTAAAAAGTTAAATTTATAGTTATAATTACTAATGATGTAGTTGTAAATCATTTGAATGATGTAATATATATATATATATATTTAATAGAAATATTATCATTTTTTTATCAAAATTTTAAATTACAATTAGGTCTCAAGAGATTTAATTGTGATTTTTAAATTTTGTAAGATTTATTTATAAATAAATCAATTCCATGGGACTTATATATGAGTTTTCCATTGTATTACTATTAAACAAAAGTTACATACATACTAGTCAAGTGCGAGAGAAAGCAAGTAATATCCTTTTGCAACAAAGCAAAGGCTAAATTGACATTTTGAAGTACAGACGGCCTTGGATTTGGACCTCTATTGCTCCTGTCTTCATCAGGCAACAAAATATTGAATTGATTGCAACGTACATATAAAAAAGTAACAATTTCTTTGTGCCCTTGTAAGTTGTGATCAATCTCTAACTCAAGACTTGTTCTCACTCTTCCCAGTTAGCTAAACGTCGCTTGCAATAATAGTACAAGAAATGTACGTTGGAGGACCAGCCGAAACCTCAGAACAGAAGTTGCTAATTTGGTTGATTTACTTGCTATTTATTTTTATTTATAAAATTTGTATTTGAATAGGACTTCCCAAGAATCCGGAGGATAAATAAACCGGCAATATATACATTATAGCATATCCAGACAATTTCCAACACATGATTGTCTGTGTGTTGCTGGCTTCCACCACCACAAATACATGTTTTTGTCCATGCCCCTATTATTTTCTTATATTACCATTTTGGCACCCTACTTGTCTTTTTTATTCCCTAATATCCCCATTGCCAATGATATATGATGAGCTAGAGATCATTCACATTTGGTAAATGATATATAATAATTTAAAAATAAATTATATGGTTGTACCTTTTTTATATTTAAATTTTTGCTGAAATTTTTTTAAAAAAATAATTGTAGAGTCTAATTAAATGTATGAAAGAAAATTGAAAGATTAACAAAATTACACATAGCATAGCATTCATGGCTAATAAATCATGTATTTTTAATAAATTTTATTATTTTACTCCTATCATTTATATATATAAGTTAGTTTTCATAATATTTTCTTGGTTTTATTTATAAATCATTTTGCAAAATTTATGAAATAATTATTTTTTTTTAAAAAAAAGCATGCTTTGTTGGTATTGAAATTAGTGAGTTCTTATGGTGGAGAGAAATTGAGGGAGATAAGTAAATTTGGATTGAAATTTATTACATTTGATTAAAAATATTTTTTAGAAAGATTGGATAATTTTAAGATTAACAACTAATTCTAACTAACTTCATTAACTTATGTATAAATTAGTTTAAAACAACTTATAGGATCCATTGGCAAATGCAAGTCAACTTATAGTATTACATAATTGTTTTAAAAAACCTTTTGAAGTCAGGTCAAGATTTTTTTTCCCATATTATGGATAATAAATTACAAACATTAACATAATCTTTCGTAGAAAGGGTTTTTTCCCCCTCATGAAACAAATTATTTAAAAGGAGATGAAAAGATAAATTAGTAGAACTTGGGGTGCGATTGGTGAATAAAAAGATTCTTCTTCGAATTTTTGTTATTGACTATTGAGATCGTAGATTCAGCTAATTGGGCGTAGTGCCAAATTTGAACGGAGCCCACAACCCCGTCGACCTGTCCATTGCAATTCCTCTGTTTCTTCCTTACCAACCCTTTTGACCGTGGCCGCCTTCTCACGCGTCTTACCACGTCAAGTGTCCCACTCTCCATTGTTTCGAGTTCTTAAATTAGTATTTTGGTTTTAAGGTATAAGATATTTTTAAATTAAATTACATATATTAATAAATTTATTAAATATATTTTAAAAATTTATTTTTTTTTAAAATAAAAAATATAAAATTTTAAAAATAATATTTATTTATTATTAAAAAGAAAAAATATATAGAAAGAGTAATGTTGAAAACGCATGATTAATAAAATATTATTTTTGTTGAAGTATTTTATAATTTGAGATGAAAATAATATTATTTATTACTCATATTTTTTTTATTACAAGATGTTTCAAACTTTTTCAAGTAAATTTAAAAAATTTTATTATATGAATTTATTTATTAAAAAAATATTAAGGTATTTTAATTATATGCATAATATCCATGTTGTTCATTTTGACTCAAGTCACGATATTATTATTAAAATTTTAAAAATAAAAAGGAATAATAATATAATATTTTAATGGATAGAAGAGCAAATTAACTCTTAAATTATAAGGTCAGGAGCATCTGAAACTTAAAATTTATTTTTTGTGTAACTTTAACTTTTGAAAACATTGTAATATGACTCTTATAGTTAACAAAAATTAATTTTAATTATTAATTGATCAGAAAATGATATAAAATGATCTCAAAAATTATATATAAAGGCAAAAAAATTATAGTAAATGACAAAAAATTATAAACAAGGATTAAAAAAATACAAAAAAAGATTATAAAAATTTTATTGGTCATTTTTCATAATTTTGAGGTTCTTTTATATCATTTTTTTAATCAATTAATGATTAAAATTAACTTTTACTACAATAAAAGCTAGATTATATTGTTTTCAAAAGTTGAAGGAAAATGTCAAACAAAAAATGAGTTTAAGATCCTAGACGAAATAATTTAAAATTTAATTTACTCTTTTACCCTATTTTAATACTAATCCTTATAAATTGAATTAACTTTTTCTTTTAAAAAACACCTTAAGTATAGGACTAGAGAGAATGTATCATATTCATCATCATTGAGTAATTCATATTTACCTTTGTTGAAATAAGAATAATATTTTTATGGTTAAAGTGCACTTTTAGTTTTTTAATTTTAAACAATGTTTTATTTTGATCCCTTAATTTTATAAAATATCATTTGATTTTTTAATCTTAATACTTTTAGCTTTGTCAACAACAAAGTCCTGCATTAAACTTCTAAATATTGAAAAAATATTATTAAATGTTAATATATTAAATTTAATTTTTTAAAATAACAATGATTGGCCAAAAAATAATCAAACAAACTTAATGATGTTTAGTGTTAGATATTTGAAAACATACTTTATAAAATTAAGAGAATAAATTGAAGTCTCATATAAAATTAAAAGATCAAATGTACACTTTAACATATTTTTATCATGATTATTTCCTTTTATGAAGATTTGAGATTTTCTTTCCAATTTTTCTTACCTTCCTTCTCATTTCATAATTTATAATTCCTGCCATTTGTAAGGTAAATTGGGGAAAAAGAACGAAAGGAAATTACATCACACAAGATATTTAACAATAAATGGTTGGCACATATAACCTAAAGTATATTATATGATTAACATAAAATCTAGTAAGTTTATTATATTTATAAAATATAATAATAAAGCAACATTAAATAATAGGAATTTGTCTCCATTTATCTCTTGATTTTTTTTAATCATTGAATCAATCTCAAAGTAAAAGAAAATGTCGTTTATGTACATAAACATATATGAAGATTCCACCTAACATTATATTCTCTTTTGAAATTGTTTTCAAAAGTTGACTTAATAAGTGTATATTTCCTTTTTGAAAAAGAAGAATCCACTGAAAATAAGAAAATTCTGCGGGCGTGAGAGCACGCGCGTGTATGACGAGGGTGGCTTTGCAGATTATGTCACACAGAAACCCCTAAAACCTCTTTCGTGAGCTCATTCCTCAGAAGTAACGCCCTCTTATAAGTTCCAACGGCCCAGCACCTGCAATTTCTTCCCATTTAATACCAACCCCTCAAAGAGCTTCAGACATAGAGAGAGAGGGGGAGGGAGAGAGAGAGAGAGAGAGAGATTCCCGCAGACACAGAGAGAGAAGCGAGGAAGAGGAAGGAAAGAGGCTACAATGTCCATCGCCTTCTGCTTCTCTCCTTCCTTCTCTTCTTCTTCCACTTCTAACCTTAATACCTTTTCTTCTTCTTCTTCATTGCCTTCCTCTTCCTTTCTTAACCTCCGCCTCTCTCTTCCTTCTTCGTCCCTTGTTCCTTCCTCCCCTCTCTCTTGCCATCGCAAGAACCTTGCTTTTGTTCTCTACTCCTCCTCTGCCTCCACTGTCACTGTTACCACCGGCGGCGGCGGGATCGGCGGAGGTGGACTCTCTGGAGGTGGCGGTGGCGGAGATGATGGAGGCAATGCTGGCGATGATAACGAGAAGAATGAGGCTATTTTGGTGTTGGCGGAGGTAGGGAGGTCGCTGGAGAGTTTGCCTACGGACTTGGCGACGGCGATCAAGGATGGGAAGATTCCTGCTTCGGTCGTGTCTCGGTTTCTGGAGCTCGAGAAGTCTCCTTTTTTCAGGTGGCTGCTTCAGTTTGGTGGCTTCAAAGAGCGTCTTTTGGCGGATGATCTGTTCTTGTTTAAAGTCTTTATGGAGTGCGGCGTTGGCATGTTCACCAAGGTTTGTGTTTTCTGCGTTTGATTAAATCGTATAAGGACTTAGATGGAAGAATATGAGACATATGTCAAGTAGTTTTAGATTTTCTGTCGCTAAGACATGTGGTTTTGTCGTTTTTGGCGATTCTGTCAAGTAATATGCAGAGATTCTTTCAGGCTTGTTATGTACGCTAGCTTTTTTTTGGAATAATCAAAGCTGATTCATTTTAGACGTGGATGATCTCTTGGTTGTTTTGGATGAGAAAATTTATGTATGGTTCCAAACTAATCCTCAGCCTTGAAGTTTAAGCTTTTTATTTACAACATCCCTTTTCAAGGATGAAACATGGATTACGATTTACAAATGATGACAACCTTTTGGATAAAACAAGACCATGAACGTTTATCTGTATGCGTTGATTTACTATTCCTTACTTGTCCATATGTTCCCAGAGAAATTAATTAATGACTAAGATATTCTCAATAACTCATTTGACTTTAAAAAGACTTGATGGTTGAAACTAGAACTCTGTGAGTTAGGCGCCTTATGAACTAGGATATATTGAAGATCTCAGTCCATAGAAATTATCTTATGAAACAATTATAACAACTTGACGAGGTATATTCCCCCTGTCTCTTTAAGCATGTGCTAATTGACAGTGCCCTCGTACTTATCTTTTTTCTTTGGTTCTATTTCCCAGACTGCTGCTGAGTATGAGCGGCGCAGAGAGAAATTTTTTGATGAGCTGGAAATTGTTTTTGCTGATGTGGTATGACCATTCTCATTGTGTTATTGCTCTTTAGTCTGCATGCTGTTCTGCTATCTTTTCAGTTACAGCACATCTATGAGTATTTCACTCAGGGCAACAACATGATCAACGGCTCTACTTGGTTATAAACTGCTTCTAACGCTCCAATATTTTTGCTCCTCTTTTTGTTTATTGGCTTAAATCCTTTTTCTTTAAATTTATATGTATTATAGTTGAAGGGGATTTTATTGACACTTCACCTATGCCTCAGCACTATGCTGTCTTGCTTGATTTCTATTTAGACAACTGCAGAGAAAATAAATTATTCATTCCTTTCACTATGAATTTTCAATATTTTCTCATTTGTTCAATGTTGAGAATCAATGTAAGATCAATATATCTGATTGTAAATGTACAATGCTACAGATAGGCAGTAAAATAGACAACAGTTTTTTAAGTACTACATAACTAGTACAGATAGATGAAACAAAATATTACAACTAAAAGAATGGCATGTTTTGTGAGACTTGTGAAGTTGTGGCTTATTCTTTGACTCAATTCAGAAATTTAGTTGCAATTTTGTGGTTCTTTCTATATGTTATTATATGCTCTGAAATGCAGCAAACCTCTAGGCATGGTTCTTAATGAATTGAATTGGTGGAAGAAGTAAGCAGTTTAAGTAGGTTTCCTCTCAATGGGCAAAGTGACCTCTGACAATGTATAAAGTGGTGCATTATCTTTCGTGATTGCTTGGTAACATATAGAAAAAGAATGCGTTTCTGCCTTTGTTTTCATTTTCTGAAAAAATTTCTTTCTTTGGTTGAAAAGCTGTTCTTTGCTTGAAGATGACTTTATACTGTAACATCTGAATTTAACATGTGATGTGTGCGTGTTTTATTTATTTATTTGTTTTTATTCTTTATTGAGTCTTATACTCTGAACTCTAATTCGTGTGTGTCTACATTTTATACCTTGCATTCTACATTTCACTGAGAATATCACATGCTGCGAAATATCTATTAATTTTAATTGCATACACAACTTACCTCTTACATCTTAACATCAGGTCATGGCCATTCTTGCTGATTTCATGCTGGTCTATCTACCTGCGCCTACTGTATCTCTTAGACCACCACTTTCAATCAGTGCAGGACCCATTGCAAAGTTTTTCCACAACTGCCCTGATAATGCATTTCAGGTGTTTATATTTCACATCGATTGATAGCTTAGATTTAATAAACAGTTTTGTTTTTGCCAAATTTTGAGTGAATGGTTGTCTATAACATTTATTTTCCCTGCAGGTGTCTCTCTCTGGAACACCATATTCCTTAATACAGAGGGTTGGTGCGATTCTGGTATGTACCATTTGGTAATCTCTGTCTTGCAATTTTTTTTTTCATCCTTTTATATATTTCTAGTACTTATTTTTCTATATGATTGTTTTTCATGGCACAGCGTAATGGAACAAAGCTTTTTGCTGTGGGAACTGCTTCCTCACTGGTCAGTTCTTATCTTTCTGGGAGATTTGGCTCTTTCTTGATTGAAATGATTAGACATTTAGAGTTTGGGCATTGCGTGATCATGTTATGCCCTATGATTTACACGGGCATTTCTTGATTTATTATTCATCAGAAAAGCTGAGCTAACTCAATTAGGAAATTGGGTTGATTGATCTGGCCTTTGCATTTACCTTTGTGTGGTTCTAGCCAGAACTAGTATTGTATGAACTCAAGCTTGAAAAAGGGCCAAAAAAAAAAAGCTGGGTTTTTCATTGTTATTGCTAGTGATATTTTATTCTAAATGGCTAGCCATTAGTTTATACATTTTAGTAATGCTCTATGTATCTTGCTGTCGATGACTTTGCTATGCATCTAGACTGCTGGGAGTTCTTTGCTTTCATTCCCATTATTAATATGGCTTGAGTCTTCCTTCATTAGACGGACCCTTCCACTTCCTATCTGTTGAAAGTAGTTGTAAGCAACAAAATTATAAACACGATTGATATAATTCATTCAACAACTTAAATTTTGAGAGGAGGACGACTAGTTGATTTATTAATCTCCTTTGCAAAAATATGGCCAACAGAATCTTCCATCAGTTGACTAATGTGAGAGGGAAATTATGTACAGGCAGGTCAACATGGATGTGGATAAAATGAACATAATCCTTTCTTCCTTGCTTTGCATAATTTATTATATGCATCTCCCTTCCAGACAACCACCCGGAGGCGCCCAAAAAAAACATAAAAAATAAATCTGTTCATTCTCCTTGAGTGGGAGGACTGATTTGGCATGCATAATATATATTTATCATGAATAATTTGCAAATGTTCTTTAAACCTTTCATCTATTTGTTCTTTAGAGTGATATAGGGAAAGGAATAAGAGATTGTTAAGGATTCATATGGTATTTTTTTTAGCTTCTTGCTTTATCAAATACTCTTTTCTCGTCTTTTCACTTAAAATGTTTTGAGTTGAAGTGAAATTAATTGGGTATGGACACTGACACGTTACCTTTGGTTTTCATTCAGGTTGGGACAGCTGTGACAAATGCCTTGATTAATGCTAAGAAGGCTGTTGACAAGTCTTCTGCTGGAGAAATTGAAAATGTTCCAATTTTATCCACCAGTGCAGCCTATGGTGTCTATATGGCAGTTTCCAGCAACCTCAGGTAAAAAAATGGTGAATTTATTGGTGATTATGGTCTGAAGTCTGTTGATGCTTCTAAAATGCTTTTGCATTAGTGGTTTTCCACTGATGAAATGTGATGCTGTCTAATAATTGATGTAATATTTGGAAAATCTATTTCATTGTAAATTATTAGTTACTGAGACATGCGATGGGTATTGCATTGGGAAAATAATATGCAAAAGTTTAAACAAAATATGGAAAATAATGTGTAAGAAATTAAATCATGTTTATATGTTGACTACATAAACTTTGGTCGGTAATAATTCTGTCAGCATAGTCATTGTTAGTTTTACACTTTTACTCAAGAATCACTTACTGCTGCCTTAACTTGATGTACCGTGATAAATTGCTTCCATAGAAAAGCCATGTTATTTTCAAAAGTTTTAATTTAATAGTTCAATTTTAAAGTTCTTATTCGCTTTCAGAACTTTTTGAATTTTGTATGATCTGTGTTACCTTGGTGCTGGTTGGGGGCCTGTAGGTATAGTGTCTCTTTAACCTTGATTCTGTCATTGTTCCCAAAAAAAGATATAGCCATCCATTGGCATTTGTAAGAATTATATATGCAATCGTAGCAAGCTCTTAATGCATTTCTCGCAGGAGAAAACTCAGGTTTTCTGAAATGAACTTGTTCATCACACCAGTGACAAGATATATATACACATATATATTCTCTGTTTTCTAGAATATATGCCTAATAGTTTGATTGTGTAATCTTAGGTATCAAGTTCTTGCTGGGATTATTGAACAGCGGCTTTTGGAGCCTTTGCTACACCAGCATAAGCTTATACTTAGTGCAGTTTGCTTTGCTGTGCGGACCGGCAATACATACCTTGGTTCATTACTGTAAGAAATGTCTTCCCTCTAATTTTTTCTTCTTGCTGGATTTCCTTTTGCTGATATGTTTGGGGGAAATTATAGAAGTTATTCTTTTGTGTCTTATTTATAAGTCACTTCTAGCATGTTTAACTAGAATTAATGAAATCCTTAAACTCTGTCTAAAAATTCAACAAGTTTCCAACTTTATCTTTATTAAATATACTTTAAAAATAAAATACTCTAACATTAATCCTTGTTGAGAGAGGTGTTTGCATTTAGTACTCGACTGTGCCTCGAATAAGGATTGCCTTCAATAGAAAGATACTTGCGAGCAATAAAAAGAACTCCAACATTTCATAACCTTTCCCCTATTTAAAAGGGGCAAAAGGGCAAAGATAAACACAAGGAGGTGCCTTGTAAAATATAAATAGGACCAAACAAATATTCTCTCTATCCCATAAATAAAACTAGAGAAGTATCTTTCTTTTATGGAAAAGCATGAAAATAAAAAAGCTTTATTTGCAGCTCATGTTTTGCGACTGTGTTGCAGGTGGGTGGATTATGCTCGTTGGATTGGAGTTCAGTAGGCTTGACAGCTCAAGAGCACAAGAATTCATTTAGGCTGCTATCTTTCTCTTTGTTGATTACACGTTTTTCTGGATTCGCATTCGCTTTTTATTACAGAACATCATATTACAAGAGTAGGCCAGAGGATTTTTTATTTATAATTTTTTTAAAAGGGAAAAAGGTATTTGATTGGGAGGTTTTCTAGTAGGAATAGGATTGATAAGGCTTCGGTTTTCTGTCATCCTCCCTCAATATATTGATATGCTTGTTGCTGATTCTCATTTTTTATTATTAGATTATCTCATTGATCAATTGAAGCTCGCGGACATAATTTTGAAAACTCTTATCATATGGTTGTTGCAAATTGAAAGAGCTGAGGAAGCCAAGCTTTTGTCTTTAGCAAAAGAAACCTACTCCTTCCAAAGTCCTTGTATTTTCTAACGCTTTGAAGGGAAAGATTTTAAATTTTCCTAAATATTTATCTTCCTTTCTTCCTTTCATCTTTGTTTTTTATTGACTCAAACGTATTAAAATACAAAAAATATGGCGGGATCAAGTCTCGTAACCTCTATTTTTTAAATCATTTTCTTCCCACTTCTTTAATCATAACCATTCATCACACATACTGATGCCAATGGTTATGACTATGGAAGTGAAGGGAAAATGATTGTGATAAATCGAAAGAGGTTGTGTCCGGACTAACACCGGAAAAGCCCGAACTTGAATGGGCAATGGTGATTAAGCCGAGTCTCTCCTGTTCAATACACCTCACATCCTTTTAAAAGGTTTTATAAAGAACAAACCAAGTGTGTTGTAGGACTGGAATAATGTCCTAGTGCAGTGTGCATCTTTCTCTATAGACAAGGGTTAAGTGAGCATGGGTGTATACATTTGATCTCTTGAAAAAAAAAAAAACAAGAAAAAAGCTCCCATGAATCTCCAAAAAAAAAAAAAAAACCAATGTTATGCTCATCTGGGTAATATGTTTCACTAGAGCAATCAGTATTCAGTTGAGGTGATAATTGCTGATGTAGAACCAGGTTTATATGGGTTAGGTCCGTCCATTTTCCAGCTCTGCAATGCAATGATGTAAAACACAAGCATCTTCTCATGTGGAGTCCTGATAGTATAAGTGAAACTTACCGACAAAATACGCATTGTCACCCAAAAATGCCTCTGCTAGTCCGTGTACGATGATAAAAGATAAGGGGACAACAACAGTTGTCTTTCCATTATGTGCTACAGCGGATCTTTTTGTGCATCTTCTCTACATCTTACAATGAAGCTATGATCAATAGCTTCCTTTATAACTTTTTATTTTTTTTTTCCCTAAATTGTTTGTAAGAAAATGTATAAAATATATACTGAACTTGGTAGACATTTAAAAGTGGCAACATAGTACACTAAGTGGCCCAACTGTTATAAAGTGAGACCTGCGGCTTGAGATGTTATGATTGACATTCTTCCAGCTATGATTTCATTAACACAACGTTTGGTTCAATCCAAGGGAAGGGTTGAGATTTTAATAAAATGAAAGTGAGATATTTATAAAAGGATAGGGAGGGAGGGGACGGAGAATTTATTCCCTCCATTCTGTTTTAACCAAACAAGGATGTAAGAGGATGCTAATGAGGATTGAAATGTAGACACACCGTCTCATTAAAAAAATAAACATGAGGTTAAAACATCTTGAAAATTATAATTATTTTAAAAATAATTAAAATTACGATTAATTTTCTAATAATATTACTATAAATTTTAAAATTATTTAAATTAAACTTAACAATAATGTTTTCCTAAAAAATTTGACAGAAGGATAATATAACTTTTAATCTCCAAACCTTTTCTCACTTATTTAGTTTTTTAATTTTGACTTAGTACTACTCAATTTTTTTAGTTTATTGAATTAAGAAATTATAACGATTAAGTTGTATCGATTAAGTCAAGGAACTTTAAAAAATTAAGTTTTGAGTCAAAGGATTAAATTATTTTGAATCAAAGTTCATGAATTGAATTTATAATTGAGAGCAAGTTTAAGAACCAAAAGTTATACAAATTAGAACCATTATTAGTGCGATTTACAAGGAGCCATACAGTGAGGATCTACGCCCAAGTGAATGAAGTTGGCATTTGTTAATTAGAAGAAAGGGATTGTTACAACAGAAGCAAACAATATAATTGCAGAAATTGGATTACATATCCTCCACCAACCTCCACACACACCAATTCTAACATACGAGGACAAGAGGCACATTAAGACACACCATTCACAAATATATTGCCATGATTGAGCTTATTAATTAATTAACAGGCATATGCAATATTAAATATGCAAATGCAAGCAAAAACTCTCAAGGTCCCAGCACAGCCACAAAAGCAAATGATAAAGCCCCAATTAATTACTAGTTATACCCAATATGATATACTCTTAAACATCAGCCTCTTTAACACGCACTCCCTCCAACCCTAATTCCAAGGCAAAGTTTTGAAGTCCTATTTGATCTTAAATATAGGGCAAAGATGTGGTAGTTATTTTTTTCCAATATTACCACTCCTTAATTGTGTAACGGTGTAATTCCTAGACACACTTTATTGTGGTCATTAAGAAGGGAAAAATTGGAAAGTCAATTTTTTTTAAAGTTTAAGGATATTAACTATTGTTATTTAAGAATCATCGAATTTGGTTAATTTTTGCCTTATGATTAGAAACGGAGGAAATATGTTTAATTTTGCTACCAGACATGCAGATATGTTCAGACAAAGTTGCAGGATATATAATATTGTCGTTGAAAAAATATTACAATGTTGTATATTGTGCATTTTGTAAATAGAGGAACATTATTTATCTTTTAAGCTCTAATTAATGTCGAAACTAACGAAGGATCCATAACTAAATGAAATTGAACGCTCATCCTAGCCTGTACTAGTTCTTAAGCCAGCAGATATGAATTAAGTATGATCAGCAGAAAGAGGAACCAAATTAAAGCTTTGTTCCCTGTGATCATCCACACACCAAAATCTAAAATTCTCAAAACATATTCAACCTCTCAATTTCTAGAGTTAAAAAGATTAAAAGAAGGTCGTACACTAAAAAAAAAAAAAGAACTTGAAATCTGCAACATCTTCTGAAGCTATATCATGGTCTTAAAATTGTGGGCATGCAAGGATTATTACTGTTTCCCCCTTTGTGTAACTTTCCACAACAAAACAGCCAAGAACACAATTTAAGAACTCAATGATGGTACAAACACACAAGTCCATGTGTATATATATATGTATGTATATGTATAACTACTAAAAGAAATTAAACTGAAATATCTCGAAGTGCACCAAGGAAGAACAGCTCAAGCTCAGGAGAAGCAAAGAATGGGATTGATGATCGAAGATTGGAGCAAATGGAAAGTGATTTTGGCTTCTTAGGTGGAGGAGGACATGATGAAACTTGCGGTAGACGAAATCTCTGAGCTTTTGGGGTAGAACAGCCATCGTCATCATGATCTGATGAAATATCAAGCTCTTCTAATGTCTGTGAGCAATACTGATCGTTGGAGCAGAGGCTAGCAGGAGAAGATGACATCATCATTTCTACATCACTACTTCTGGTATTGTTTTTTTGTGGATTTTGCTTCTTTTTCTTCACTGAATTGAATCTTCTGGGCTTTAGTTTCCTCCTTGTTTTCACCCTTGAACATGTCGCTGATGAGCTTCCAGAAGGGGCCATTTTCAACAGATACTAAGCAAAAGGGTTCTTCTGGATTTTAATATTACTTGGAAACAACAATATATAAAAGAACTGAAAATATAGAGAAAACTTGTAGGTACGTACTTACAAATCTTTCAGAACCAATACAGATGAAATCCAGGTGTCTTCAGAGTTAATCTTGTTCTCTTAGTTCGGCAAGTTGTACGTGAGGGATTAGCTCCTTCTATTAGACTTCACCCTTGTTGATGAAAATTAAGGTTAATTAAAAGTGGGCTTTTTTGAGTAATGGTTTAGCTTGGATTTGGATTCTTTGCAGTAGATTGCAAATAATGCCGTTAAAAAGAGATAGGGATATACACAGAAGACAACGAGTAAAGAGGGGGAAAAGAGTTAATATTTGAACTTGTTCCTCTTTATCACTCTCTTTTTAAATGCATGACTCTTTGAGTGTAAAGAATCCTATTTGATTCAGCTATCCACCATAAGGAATTTTCAAAACAGTGATTTTCTTTTGGCGCAGTGGTGCTGAAGTTGTCTTTAGAGAAGAAAAAGATTTCAATTCATTATCAGTGGGAGCCAAAATTTGAGAGAATAATTCAGAAAGCAAGATTTCTGGGAAAAAGGAGATCAATCAGACTTAGGATTCTAAAGATTCATCTGATACTGATAAGAGAAGACACAAGTTAAAATAAACCCTACCACAAAGCTTTAATTAGGAAGAACCATTCAAGGCAGACAAATGAATACAGAATCTTCATGAAGAAGAGATCGATCAGTTTTGTGGAACTAAAACCTATCTTAAACCCTTGAAACACACATATAACTCAAAGAAAATTCAAACTTATATATAGCAACCAATAAAAAAATAAGAAAGAAATAAAGAGGGGGGAAGTCAGGAAACAGACAAAGAGATCGTGTGCTTTTTCAGGTTGCTGTTACTAAAGTCGTCTTTTAAAAATAAATGGTGACACTCCAATACATATCGTAGAAAGCAAGTAAATATAAATAAAATTAAATGGTGACAAGTAGGGAAGGAGAATCCCACTTGCATCTGCTTTAGAAATACAAATATATACATCAGACTGAAATGAAAACATATATATACAGTTAAATTAGGAAAAGCAGGTGGTGGCACTTATTTCTACGCTAATGGGTGCACGCCTTTGATCTTTTGATTCATGTGAGTTCGTGCATTGTTCTTTTACCCTCAATCATAAAAGCAGAAAAAAGATATCACTTGATATATCCTATAGCTTGTGTTCTCATCATTGGACTGACGTTTCCAAATGCCAACTTTCAACATCTAAAGCAGTTATATCCGTTACTATGAAGGAACTACGGTAACCGCAAGTAATTAATTAATAAAGAATGGAGTAACTACATATACACACACACACACTTCTCAAGTTCTTATTATATGATACTTTCAATCATTTTATACATCTTAAGAAAAGTTAGTTTTTTTTCTTAATATCATTAAAAAGTGAGATATATTTTCATTTTTACTCTTAACTTTAAATAATAATACAACTATATTAAATACCTTCATGCTAATCAAGAAGGGATAATATTAAAAAAAGTGATTTAATTATTACAAAGTGTCTTATATTTTGGATTAAAAATTAATTTTAGAAAATGTCTTATAAATAAGACTAGAGGGAGTATTTAATAGGAGGGAGTAGCTTCCAATTTAGCTCAAGAAATATATATATTATATTTCATATTTAGATGACAATACATAATTGAATGAAAGAAAATTCAAGCCTTTAAGAAAGTGGAATTAATTAGATTTTTTTAGCAGTTGGTTCATGTTAATTATAATTATATGAAATGATATGATTTGTATTACTTGAGAGAATTTTCTAGCATAAGTGTTGACTGAATTCTCGTGTTTATTATTTCATTCATTGTAATTATTCTAAAATAATCCCATGTTTATTAGGATACTTCCCCCTTTATATATATACACACACACACACTCTTCTATTCTTAATAAATGAACATAACATAGTTTACACTCAAATTCGCCTCTTGTTTTTTTCTCGTGTTTTTCTACATTGATATCTGTCAAGTACACTTGTTTCGTTCAGTCCCATTTTTATGCACAATATTTCACCTTCAACCTCAAATTTGATAGTTGAAGGTGGGAGGGGAAAAAAACAAAAAGCGTTATGGAAGAGGAGTGAATATATATATATATATATATAGCAGATTACTGAGATTAATATGAACACTTTCATTTAAAGTTAATATCTTCCTAAAGGGGAGGCAATAGAATGTAGGTAGGGTTTATATATATATACCTGTGTGTGTGATGTATATATTATTAGAAAGATTCTGGAATGATTTAGTCAACAAGCAAAAGTTGAGCTCTAAATTTAATGCTGCTCTAGTCTAAAGTGCCAAGCTTATCAATACTTTTGTTGACAGCTATGTGACGTCCATCAAACTTTGCTTTTGCGTTGCATTATATCACAGGGAAAAGTTTTTAGAGAAAAGTTGGCACAGTCTTTTGAGTTATACTTTAATTCTAAATATATGCACGATTGATTCTTCTTGTCTTCTGTTTTATTCCTTTATTTCTCTTTAAAATCCTAAAGCAAAGCATAAGCTACATAAATCCTCTCTTTACAGGTATTCCTGAGATGAAAGAACCCTAGGAATATACATATTCACAGTCCCTATCCACGTGTGCAATTTGTATTATTGAATTGTAACATTTTGTGTGTGTATGTTATCATTAACCTGAAAATATTGTTTAATGTCTCTTAAATAAGACGATAATTAACAATTAATTGCTGAAAATTTGTTTTCTCCCTACTAGGGGGTTAAAAAAAACAAAAGAAAAAGAAGAAGAAGAAAAGTTTTATTTCATCAACAGACTTGGGTCTAGGGGAAAAAACTAATCTATCATAATATAATGAATCAATATTCAAATCCTTGTTGCTAGAAGTGTCCATGTTTAGTACTTGATTGTGTTTTGAATAAGATTACCTTCAATAGAATTATAGTTATACGCAATAAAAAACTACATTTTGTCAAAAAGAAGAATGTTATCAAATATTAATTACTTTACTAATAATACAATAATTTTTTTGAATATGTATTTAGGTAACAGGATTTTGAGTCAAAGTTCAGGAGGAGAATTATTAATCCAAATAATGGACAATTAAAAGAAGAAGAAGAAGAAAAATTATAACTGTCTCTTACAGGATTATACCAATAGCCTTGTAGCATAACAACTCAGATATTCTTTAGAAGTTGAAGGTTCAATCCAACCTGTAACTTTAGTAGGTCAGTGCATGTCCCTCTAAAAAAAAAAAGTACGAATGACTAAAATTTAATTAACTGACTAGATTAGCATATAAATTAAAGCAATCAATAACATAATATTTTGTTTAAATAAGGACTCATGTAATATGTGTGTGTGTGTGTGTGTGTGTATATCCAATTAGCATTTTTAACAAGTGCTCTATGTGTCTGTGTAAGTTAGTAATAATTATGCAGAGATTTTACATTTGTGAGGTTGAAAAATAATTAACAATTTAATTCAAAATGCACGTTCATCTAGCTAGCTAGTTTTAACATCAATTTATATATACATTTCGATTAGATTGATGATAAGCATGCTTTTAAATCATCAAGATCTTCAGAAAGATTAATCAAAAAATGTTTGATATTTTTGTTTGCCCTCATTTTTTTGTTGTTGATTCTTCTGTTATCCATTTCTGCGAATCCTAGGGTTTCAATTTGCAAAATGAGAACATTCAAAGTCCAACTTTGATCAGAGAATATGATCAAAGCACGAGAGTTCCCCACCTTGACCAACTTTGAAGTTAATTTTATTACTAAATGAGAGAACAACAGAATAACATACACAAGAGAAAGGATCGATTATCGTTTTCTTTAGAGAGAAGACAAACAAAACAAAACTATGTGTGGGTCTTCAAGTTCTTCATGTAGTGAACATAATTTTTGAGAAAGAAAGCACATAATAAAGCCATGGATTTTAATTAGTGGAATCAAAAGAGAGAAAGGGATTAAAGAATTAAAGCAGAAAACACAACACAAAGCAATTGGATATTAGAGCAAATGTTTCCACACTGGTCAGCATTCAAGTTCAATACTTTGATTCTATTCCTTTACGCCATATATACCATCTTTTCCCATTCAAAAGAACACAGAATCGTTCAAGGAATTGAAGGTATGATCTTGATGACGACGACGACGAATATATGAAAGCTTTGTATTTTTTGAACACGTTTGGATGAAAGGAATAGAAAAGAAAAACTAGGAGAATAGAATGTTTATATATATTAATATAATTAATTTCTATGTTTCATTATTGTGTGCGTGTTTGGGGATGTTCAGAATATATTGAGACATACATTTCTTTTTGTCGAGTTGAATGTTATCCTTCATTAATTTTTTCTAGAATATTCTTGTTTGATCGATGATCAAGATCTAATGTTTATACGCATATTAGCTTTCATAATTAAACTCAAGTTATTTGGGCACTTTTTTTTTTCGTATTGAGTGTTATTTGGTCTACCTACATCATTAAATAACTAATTGTATAGGGAAATATGCACACAGTTTGGCTATTATTGGAAAACAATTATTTCCTAATGGATATAGAATTATTCAGCTCAATTTATTAACCATAATATATTTATGTTTTATGAGAGTTTTACATATGAGGAATCAAGTCAGAAGACATTCAAAGCGTCAAATTTCCCTGATAAATCCATGAAACATTAAATACAAAATATCTTGATTATGAATTAGTGGGTACTAATAATTCTTTTCTATAATATTGATGGTATCCTATTGCATCACATCATCCGCACTCTGTTTAATAAAATTGCTCTGTTCAATCCAATAAAATTATATGTGTCATTATTTTTAATTATTTTATTTTTGAAATAGAGTGCTTCTTTAATTAATTTCTTGTATTTTCTCTTTTTCTCTCTTTATCATTATCAATGGCTGACTCAATTTATATCTATAACCATATAATATGACATATTTTCATGAAACAAAGAATAAATGATTTGGTGTATTGAATCCATGCAAGAATTTTTCTATTAGAAGTTAATTAGAGTGCTTCAATTGAAATAGAAACTGGGAAATTAGAAAATACCTTTAAAAGGGTTGTGTGGGATTGAAATTTCAATATAAGCAGCACATCAATTTGCTTGTAGGAAATAGGAAAATATATATACCTAATATGCTTTTTTCATGATGAGATTGTCTCATTAACTAACCAATTTCGGGTTTGTAGGATATTATATATGAAGGAAAATATTTACTTTCAAAAGAAAATTATGAGTATTAATTAATATGCTTACTAGCTAATAACTATATCAGTTATATATACAACTGATGGAAATAGAGGTTGGCAAGATGTTAAGAAATGTTTTTGATATCCAATATAACATTCCTAGATTGTCCAACTAATTCCAAAATTAACATTAAGCTGTAATTGCTTTCATGTTCATAATATATACTGTTGTCTGAGTTGTTCCATTAGCAAGAGTAGTGAGAATTGATAATTGTAGGGATATGTTAGGGTTAAAGGGAAATTCCACATTAAACTATGGGTCATGGACTGGGACCATACATTAGTTTTTAATGCAATAACACTCTCCTTTATAAAACAGTGCTTTGTTGCTTTACTCTTAATAAAAGTTAGTTTTTATTGTTAGTTGATTAAAAAATTATAAAAAAAGACTTTAAAAATTATAGAAAATGATCTAAAAAACTATAAACAATGA